TCCCATAGAAAACGATGAAGCGTTTTTTTCTGAATCACCCTATATAAATTTCAAATCTCTGAGGCAAAACTTTTCTTATCTTGCCATTTGCCGAATATATTCTTTTGTATGTCTCTCAATTCGAATTTTTAGAAGAAAAAATGTAGATACCGTCGAATATTGCATGGATGGCGTTAAGTCGTTGATAGCGACGAACAATGGATGGTACACATAATTTTGGATTTTCTCAAAGAGATCACAGCTTCTGTCTCTTCTCAAGAACATCTCGCTGAACTCAAGATATTTATTGCAGAAAAGGCAACTGAGTCGTACCAGAATGCGCACCAAGAGAGAAACACTCCTTTTGTAGGGATCCACAGTTGACAGGAAGAGCTTAAGGCAGTAAGGGTAAAATAAATGCATAGACGTAGTGAGTATTTCAACTTACCGTAATGAAAGACTTGTCTTTTCCCTCACAGCAAATGGAGGGAGGGGGGGAGGGGGGGGATAATAATTACATAAAATGAAAATGTTTAAAATTCGATTACGATGCTGAAATTCATTGAAACACCGAGGATTTAAAGAATGAATTGAGGAGTTCTCTGGAAAAGGGGCGTATATGCACATACGCCCTTTTTCCATATCCGTGTCCATGTGCTGCTTTAGATGACTTGTTATCGGATAGGGTGGTCAGCAAGTAGTTAAGATGCGTATTCAGCAAAGGAGAAGCAGATTTTCCTATGCTCTCACTATATAGCAGGCCAACTGCCTGGCAATTTCAATATGGCTGCCTCCATGAATTAGCACATTAGCACTTGCATGATGAACGATTTCAGTGGAATCATTTCGTCCTTTTAAACTGAAAGTGAAAATGAGGAAGAAACCAGACATGAGGAAAGGGAAAGAAAGAGGCCCAGTCATTCAAGCCTCAGGAAGGATATGAGGAGTTAGAGATATCCATGAAATAAGTTGCAGATTCAGATGATGAATACATTAATACTGGATCACTGCTGAGTAATTGGCGAATGAAACGTGTCCTGAATATTCACATTTTCCTTGCTCTTCTTTAAGAAATAATTAATTTAAAATCTGTAGATGCATTTATTGTTTAATTGTTATTTTTAACATGAAAGGGGTGGTGAAAGACTCGAATTGCATCTTTTGCACATACGCCCTTTTCCTAGAGAACTCCTCAATTGTACACCTGTTGAAGTGCTCCTGTTCAAGCTCTAGCACGCTTCTGTGCCATGAATGGTTCCTGAGATGGTAATTTTCCAGCCCATGGGGCTGTTACGCTTTCCCCCAAAGTTTAGGGGAAACCTCCCTTACTGCAGATCCGATTGGGCCAATTCTCCCTTTAAGGAGTTGTTTGATTGTAATTGCTGTGAATTTTAATCACGAAATCCGAGATCGTTAGGCTACGTCATATATGTTAATATTTGTTGAGGCCGGATGGTATGACCCACGTGTAAAGGTGCTCTTTGCAAAGGTATGTTCATTGATGGAAAAGTTGTGTACAGTACAGTGAGTAACTGAATATATCTTTCATTAAAACTTGAACTTTTTTTGTAAATTAAGAGCCTAATCAGAAAGTTATCGATGGGGAGTGCCAGCAGAAATGTGGGATACATGATTGATGCAAATGCAGGCCGACTTCCCTTATCTTGAAACAGTGTTTGGCATTTATCTTGCTGATGGTCATATTTGTCGAGTGCAATTGACTACTCCTGCCACATATGCAAGGGTTGTATTTTCTCTGAATTTTCTTTTTTTCCAGTATTTACGGTTGTTTCTTTGAGACCATGGGGAACACGTTTCCTTGGTTTACAACAATGTCCAACCGAGGGAGCTGCATCTGCTCAATATGACCGCCCTTTATGTCCACTACGGCTTGCAGTCGTGGGATGACATGATAGACAGCTGAACGAAGCCGTCCAGCGTTCAACATGGTGATATGATGTCGCATGGCATCTTTCAAGTCAGTTAAGGTACTGTAGCAGGCGCTGAGCGATTAACAAATGACTTGAGGTATCCCCGCAACCAGAAATCAGATCTGGAGATGGTGGTAGCCATGCATGAGGAAAATGTCTACTAATGATGCGATCGCCAAAAGCACTCGTCAGCAGCGTCTTCACAGCCCCTGCAACGTGTGGGGGTGCTCCATCTTGCATGAAGGTTGTCCCATTCAACACACCACGTTACATGAGTTTAGGGATCGAATTTTCTAACATGGACCGATAGCGCTCACTGTTCACTGTTGATGTTCAAAATTCGGTTTCCTTTATTTCTTCAAAAAATATGGCCCAATGATGAACTGACTGATGAATTCACACCAAACTGTCATCTTACCGTCATAAATGACCGTTCAACACCTGCATGTGGGTTGGTGTCCACAGTATGAGACTTAGTTGGCCCCGTAAGTCGAGGATTGAGATTTTTTTGAATGGAAAAGGTACGCCTAGACCTGACCTGTAGACAGTCCGTGAGTTACGGCTTGGCATAACGTTAGTGAGTCCCGTAGAGAAGGGGTATTGAAGAAGGGAAAGCCTTTGAAAAATTGTTTTTACATTACTTCATGTTCATCGTAAAGAGGGGTAGGCATATCTTACATTACGTGAACTCTTGACCAAGACACAGGATGTCAAAATGGGCAAAAAGCTCCACTTGACCTTCATACCTTGAACACAACTTTCCGTAATGAAAAATTCTTCTTGCCCAGGTTCTTTATAAATTATTTTGTTCTCTTTTTTCGTTACAACTACAGTAAAAACTGGGTCAACAAACATCATCAGGCATACAGCTTCAAGCAGTACAGCAACATGTCCGACCGGCACAGTGCTTTAGATCTGGACCTGTGTCCATATCTAAACGGAAAATGAAAGCATACCAGAGCAGCAGCAAAGGAGTTGAAGTATATCATCTTGAAATTCAAAATTTCGGATCTTTATACGGCCTAAATTCTTCGTACAAGAAATGAGAGAGGGTCCAAGATCTGAACGCCGTCGTTCGAACCTTCCTAAGAGGCAAAAGAACTAAGCTTGCGCTGCATAACGTCACTGAGCAAAATTTTTCGTTAGTAGTTCTTTCGGCACCGCTTTAGGTGTGGTCAGAGATGCTGGATAGGGTTTCGGCCTGGAGATTGGAGCTGGCCACTCCAATCAACGAACGTTGATTGGGCCAATGTTGAACACTCTTCGCATTGTGTTTCGGATCGTTGTCATTCTGGAAAAGAACTCCGCTGACGTCGAGGTCATACCAGTCGATCATTTGCATCAATTTCGTTCTTCAGGATGGATCTGTAGAATTGTTGGTCCATGGTGCCGTCGATCTTGCACATGTGGCCGGTTCCCTTAATCGTCATGTAGCTCTAGATCGTAATAGAGCCGCCTCCATGCTTGACAGTCTGCTTGACATGTCGAGCTTGCCGGCTTCCGCCTCGCATTTCCAGTACCAGGCACGTCCATCTGAGCCAAAACGGTTGATCTTGGTTTCATCCGACGAAATGACTCGAGTCCAGTCATCAGTCATCAACCGTCTAATCCTTTAGTTTTTGGATAACTCCAGACGGGCCTTGATATTTGCTGGCGAGAGTTCGGGATTTTCTTCATTATCTGCTGCACTCAAACCAACTTCGTGGAGGGCACGGAGAACTGTCTTGACGTTAACTTCGACTCCCACGTCGTCCCTGAGCTTGTTGGTGACATTCGTGGCTGTTTCCAGATTACCAGAGGCTTTGTCTTGAGAAGACAGCTTCTGGGGAAGATCGCCTTTCGACCCCCTGTGGTGAGGAAAATGCCTCTTCTGGATCTTATGGACAGACGAACTGCCCGGCGTTGCATCGCTTGACAATCTTCTTGAGGCTATAGCTCTCATGGAGAAGCAAGAGGGCGTTTCGCTGGGTGTCGTCAGAAGATCGACGCATCATGACTGAACTCAAGCATGAATGAGAATTAAATCAGCGCAAGCGTAGAACAGCTTTTAAGCTCTTAGCAACGGGCTTATCTGAACACGTGACAAACACAAGATAGCGTCCGCCCACCTTTAGCCGATGCAAATTTGTGATTCTCTAAATAATTAATCGTGATTCACGTGACAGCACGTGCGCGAGAGGCGTATCGGATACCAGGGACGAATCTGTCCGAATTCAGTCGTTTGCTTCCAGTTAGGATTTCTCTATAACTGCTGGATGGATTCTAGTAAAAATTTACATGCGTGTAGAAAAAGAGTTTGGCTAAAAAAATGACTTGTAGCACAGCCTAATTCAATCATCCAGCACGGAGATAATTGGTCACAAAATGGAAGTTGCCAAACATGCGGACAGTTTTGTCCGTCGATGTATACTACACTCTCACAAAATTATGGTTTCGAGAGAGAGGAAACAACAATGCCTAGATTGCGTCAGGTTTTAAATGCGCATTGTCGGCTTCTTAGTTTGTGTCCTGATTGGTAAAGGAGAAAAAAGCTAATTACGACAGGTGGCTTGTAATGATGCCAGCATGAAATGCCGTCCAGAGCGTCCGTCCATCAACTGAACACGAAATTAATCGAAAGATTATGCCACGGTATGAACTCTAAAAACACGCATTTTATGCTATTTCAAGTTAAAGAGTTATTGATAGTACAGAAAACAATCTTTACAGTTTTGACCAACCCAAAGAAGATCACGAGCGGACCATGAGCTGTATTAGTAGAAGAAAAATTGACTGCAAAAATCAGATAAAGTCAGATGAACTTTTCTTTCAACAAGTCGAGGAAATGGATGAGAAAATAAAATCCTGCCTTTTGCCATCACTAACAGACCAGAGAGAAATGGCATGCAGAAGTCTAGGAGATCAACTCAGGCCCTGTGCCTGGGCCGAACCTGTCGTTTCTCTTTTCGTCTTTCCCGTCACACTTTCATCTCCCAACCAAACCATCTGAACTCCAGCATGCATGTAATAGTTTTATCGATTAAAAAATCTCCTATGTGCATGAACCGTACATCCCAGCTATAAGGAAGACACTTTCCAATGGATTCATTTGGCGGTCTTTATAGATCAGATTCTTAGTCAAAACATTTTGAGAGGAGGGAATGTCGCTGGTAGTGAACAGGCTAGGAGTAGAAGGTGAGAACGGACGTCTGGTTCCCCCTGATGAGTAGAAATGGTGGTAAGTTCTTGGTGAGGGTCTCCAACCAAGCCATGTAGATCGGCGCCGTCACAGTCCCCTTTGCTGCTACCGGCAACGTCCTGCACACAAGACAGACTGCATCCTTCACAGTCACCATCAAAGGGGTCACGATCATGATAATCATCGTCATCTCACATGACAATGAGAGAGGCGTCAAGGGAATTTTGGAGCAGGAGTTCTCTCAGTCTCATCTGTCTGTTGTTCCTCTCTTGAAGCTTTCTCAAAATTTCGTCCGTCACTGATTCATCTGAAAATTGTGACCAATGGTAAACTATTTTTATTTTACTTTAAATGATACATTGCAAAAATCCACCTTTTACATTTCTGGACCTCCAGAACAATCGAAATAACCGCTCGAGGCAATAGTGTACTGTACAGGGTTGGGAAAACCTTCTTTGGCGTAGCCAAGGAACAGTTATCCCAACTCTGTTCTAGGATATACAGTACATTCGGCCTTCACCACGTTCTTTGACGTTTCTTTGACCCATCGGTCAGAGGGCCAGCAAACTCCGTCATCCTGATGCTCCACCCCTTGGAAATTTTTAGTTCAAAGTTTCAAGGTCAGGGGTCATACCGTCTCGGAGGAGAAGCAGCTTCACACAGACACTTTCGCTCATTAGTAAGATAGATGAGTGTACTAAAGGAATGGTCTTTAGAGGAGTAAAGATGTCCGTGGAGAAGAGAGTTCAGCTTGTAAGCGGTATACCTCCAGCTTTCTCCTTGAACGGTTCCAGAAGATTGAAGAATTCCCTGCTTGTCGCTTTGGCAGCTTTCTTCCTCACGTCGGGCACCACAATTACATCACTGTAGTTGATTCGGAACTTGCTCAACAATGCCGCCATGCTGCAGATACGTAATGATTAGGTCATGAGTACAACAGGATGGCTGTTGGACTCCGCAGGCCTTTCTCAGGAAAGAAGAGGAAAGGTACGAGCAGGTAGTACCTCCGTTGCTCCTGTTCCAACTCGCCCTTGACAGAGGCCAACGTGAAGACTCGCAGTTTGCATCCACTCCACTGCGACCGGGTCTTCAGAATGAACGGCAGCAATAACGTCAAACCTGTATGCGCAATTCAAGGGTACCTTCTCAGTGAATTATTTTTCAGCTACCTTCACTTCCAAGACCTTCAATATTTAAAAAATTATTTTGGAGAAGTTAAAGGATAAAATTACGAAAACTATATCAAATTTGGTTGAATGCATGCAACACTTATGGGGCAGAGTGAATCAGTGCATCTACTGATGCTAAAAATACTAATACTAAAAATGCACTGAATGATTCTGAGGTGCGATGATTCCCACTTAATATGATTCTTCTTCATATTGCAAAAGTTGATAATTAATGTTAGAAATTACAAATAACAGGTGGGACCAATCAAATATCTTATACATAACACGAGAAACTTCAAATGCTGAAAGCTGGAGGTCATTTTCCCGCCCCAGGGGGAAAATTTAAACCCAGGTATCTCTGCCCTCGTTTGATGTTCAGGGTGACACAAAATGATATGCCCAGGTCATAGTGCAGGTTCCCGAATAAATAGAAAGTCCTAGTTTTTGTTGTTCGATAGAGAAATATGCGTTCGGAAACCAAAGTTGACATAATTAGGTAAATTCTTTGCAAAATTATGGATAGTATCCTGTTTTATTTTTTTACGCTTTTTATTCAATCGCAACGAAAAAAAAAACATGAATTGTATAATAATTATGACCACCATATGCTAGTAGAACCATCTGAATACGTTTCGGCATTGAACAAATAAGTATTTTGAAGAGTTCAGTATCTACTTCCAGTTCTTAAAGTAGCGTCAGAAAGATTGCTCAGAAGCGAGAATTCGGTATAACGTCCGGACCCCATGTTCACGGTACATTCGTTCTTCCACACGGTCTTTGACGATTTCATCAGAATTTTCCGTCGGGTTAAGATCAAGCGAGTTACCGAGCCACAAATCATTACCCGAAAATACCAGGTAGCCCCCCAAAAGTGTCCTGTTTGACGCTTTATTAAACCCGTGTGGATAACCTAGGTTCATGATGTTTTCGTATCACAATGGAAAAATCTCTAAAAATTATTTTTCGAAAGTGTCGTATACCTAGGTTGTCTGAATAAAAATTGGCAGTCGTTCAAAGTGGAGTAATAAAATCTATCTTTTCCGCACAAAAGATGGATGGAGTTTCAGGACTGCTCGAATGACCTCTCCATTGACACCATAAATGTTGCTTTTATACCAGTTCTCATTGTAGCATTCTGCGTAGAATCGATTCTGATGCTACGATGTATAACAGTAGTACTGTACTCATCGCCAAAAAAAAAGTAACACCAGGAAGGAGTTGGGTGATCTTGATGAAATTTGGTAATCATAATCGTATTAATGTGTCATGTAATTGATGCAAGTTTCAAGGTCGTAGGTTGAATATTCGCCGAGAAAACTTGCCAAGCATCCAAATTTAAATGAGGTCGGAAGGGTCGTACTTATCGCCCACAAAGAACATCTAGAAAGACATTATTAATGAAATGCGAAACAGGAACTTCTAGTGATGTTTAGAGCATTGGAGCAAAGTTTCAAGGTCATAGGATGAAAATATGGAGGGAAAACTTGCCGAGCTAGCCGAACGCCATGAGGGATGGGGAATAAGGCGACAGCACTGATCAGGCCAGTTTCTTTTTCTGCTTTCCTCCATCCACTCTGCTTTGCTTCAATCGTTTATTTTCGTATTTAAACCCATGCCAGGACGACGTTCACAAAGGCAGTTTCGCCAACTTCACCAGTTCGGTCGAGGTCTTAGTTGGCGTGATGGTGGCTGGGGACGGGCCAAAGGACTTCTTTGAGGACTGTGTACCGGCATGCAATCCAGCTGGGACTGCGGTCTAAACAACCTGTCTGTCTACCTGTCCCCACCACCAGTACCTTCCGTGATCACGGGTAGAAGCAATTCGGTCTCGGAGAATCTACAGCCTCAAATACCGGTCATCCCTTGGCAGCCTGATCCTCATTGCCGTTCATGGTTTGCCACATTCTGATACCGAACCGTCCTGAACCGTCCACCGGTTCCCGGTCAATTCCCCGAATGGTTATTTCCCCGACGGTCAATTCCCCGAAAGGACAGTTCCCGGAATGACAAATTCCCCGAACGTACAGTTCCCCGATCACGGTTTTCCGATCCCACGGTCGCGGAAGGAGGGCTATCGACTGCATCCATTTCCTTCATGTCTAGGGGTCGATTTATAGTTCACGCCCTTGTTTGTCTCTGAAGAGGTTCATACATTCATATCTGTAACTGTAGAGCACATTGAGCTCTATCTAAATGTACTGGCAGGTGAGGGCCGATCTTTTTAGTGCACAGAAAAATTCAACTTTTGTGAAAATCGGCGGGTGTTGCATTACTTTTGTCAGCCACTGTATTTGTCAACAGGGTGTCAATTTTGCACTTAATGAAATTTTTATATCTTCATATATCCAAGAAGTGACCTTTTCTTGCGGATGATGAATAAAAGTGCCATAACTTTGATATTTAATGGAGAAAAAAGGATTGATTTGATAAGATTTATATGAAAAACAGCTTGGAAATGTTTTAATTCCCAATAGTTCTGATGATTTGCGGGGTTAGACAAATACAATGCAGACAGCATTTTCATTAATATTTTATCTGAGATAGCCTGCATGCAAATGTATATATATGAACTCTTGAGTTTATAAACTGCAATAAAATGGGACTGGATTTTGCCCAGTTCGTTTACTGCAGTACAGAATGAACACATCGGATGAGGCAATACAAATCGGCACCGTTCTTTGAGAATTTGTGGTGCCTCTCAGGGTCGACTAGAGGTTTCTAGGGGCCAGGGGCAAAACTAAGCCGGAGACCCCTTGGGGGCCCCCTTGATGCCCTTTGGAAGCCCCCCCTTGGGACCCCTTGATACGCAGGGCCCGGAGCAGATTGCCCCCTTTGCTCCTCCCCCCCCTGGGCAGCCACAGTGCTTCTGAAACAGCAGCTGGCACAATGTGATTTATTTCATGCACACGTCCATGCATCCTTTCAGTATCCGAAAATGGTTGCCCGTTTATCCCTGGCCGTTTAGCACAAGAGTGATATCACAAAAACAACTAGATCTTTATATTTGCGCTCACCTGGACGCTGACGGGAAGACCTGCTCCACTCACTAGGAATTATTTTCAAGGCTTTTTTACCCCCTGCAATTCAGAATCTTCTGAGCAGATCTCTGACTCCTCTTTACGTCTGGCAATTTGCAGATGGGAATTTTGCATCCCGGGATTATCATCTTGAGGAAGAATGACTTCTTCCAACAGTTTCCTTCATTTCCAGTTTGTTTTCTGCTCCTTCTCTTCCTTTCAGATGAACCGGTCTCTCGCAGCTTGCGAATCGTAACTAATATTTTCTTAAGATAGGTCTACATTTCTTTAATTCCTTACCAGATAATTCCTGCCCCACCCCATCATATCGCAAAAGAGCATTTTCATGAGCAGAGGGGAGGAGGTCTGACCTGAGATGGGTGCGCTCAACGTTAAGCAGCTACTCTCCCGCCGATACATTTCCTTTCGCAAAAATGGAAATCGGGTTGCTTTTCGCGTCTTTGTTCATGTGCGGGAGAAAGATAAATGAGAGTTTTATGACGTTTGGAGAATACGAAGATGTCGTTGCAAAGAAAAACGTTGCCGTGCTATCTACTATCTCATGAGCTCCAAAGAATCTCAACGAGCGCAACGCGACGCGTTGTTTTCGCCTCACAAGATATAATTGTCACTTCATGCAGATTCAGTGATAAGAGCGAAAGGGGACTCACCACCGTCGTCGTAGAGCCACCAGACGTCGATTCGTCCCCTCTTCTGCTTCTGTTGGAATTGAGTCATGGCATGCAAGATGTCCTTTGCTAGGGGGTACCCACCAGGACTGCGATATTCCACCGCCGCCGCCTTTTTTTTCTTCTTCTTCTTCTTCTCACCCAGACCAGGGGAACCTTCAATCTCTTCACCCGTTAAGACCCCGTCGGTTAACTCCTCCTCTGTATCTGAGAACATACGATAGGAAAGTCAGACGCTTTCATGACGTATTGCTTGCAAGTCCATCCTAAAAGACGTCGATTTATCACGTCATGCGCTCGAAACGACTACGGTGTCCAGGGCGGAAACCCTATAACAATCAGAGATAATCTAAATACAGTATATAAAAATGTACTGAGTGGCCCAAAAGAAACCGTTTTGTTTGACGCTTTATAAAACTAGTTGTGGATGATCTAAGTTAGTGATGTTTTCGTATCACATTGGAAACACCACAAAATTGGTTTCCTGAAAGTTCCATGTAACTAGGTTGTATGATAAGTTACCGCCGGCCGGGCAGGCGGGTTTTGGGATCGCCGGCCCGCCACTGAAAAACTAAGTTCTGTCTCTAACGTCCGAAATCGAACAATTCATTGCCCATTATCACAAATGATGATCACATTAATACTAAATCGTGTGACGTCAAAGAAGACAGCATGTAGTTTGTGGAGAAAAGTTTTAACGTGAAAATAGAGGTCGGCCTAAACGTTACGCCTCGGGGAGCCCGCGAGACCCTCACACAACTTTCACCAGGTGTCCACGGCGTCGGATGTGACATCCGGAGTAATATTTTTAGTAATCGAAATGTATTTAACAATATTATGGATGACAAATGAGCATATAAAGGCTGCAACAATTTGCTTTGGGTGGTAACTGAAAATTCCGTATTCCAAAGTCTTGCACTCTCTCATGTTAGAGGTGTACCTATGTGCAAAGAAAAGTGTCAGACGTGACATTTCGTGAACCTCAAGTTTAAGTCACTTGCACTAATGTTCACATATCTGTCATCGAGTGGATCCTAATAATTTAGTTTCACGTTCATTCTAAAGATGGAATGAACGCCTGGAATTAGTGTAAGTCACCCCTCGATGGCAAAACTTTAAACACCTTTTTTGTGACGGTGTCGGATGTGACATGTTCTGAAAATGTATTTTGAAAGAAAAAAAAAAAGAAGTCAATACATACATATAAGTTTTATTTTAAAGATATCATTCAAATGTGAACAATTCACATCAACTCTTCACACCTGAGCTTATTTGAAATTATCAGTATGCATGGAAAGCCCATGCTCGCATCTCTTCCAGTAGTATAGTTCAGTCTCTCCAGATTTGAATTTCATCACATTTTTAAGTATCATGAGAGTGTTATGAATAACACATAATAATCATGACTAATTCTTTCATTTTTCAATGTAATATTCCCTTTCATTCATGTCTTCTAGGAAAAGAGATGATGGACTTCTGTAGCGAAAGTAATATTTTCATATTTAGGAAAATTTCCGGTTAAAATTCTAGGACCACTTGGCGTGGACAGACCCACCATGAACTTGATAATTAATTATCCTGTCCAAATACGAAGTATCCAGAAGAAATCAGCATGATATTCTGTTCTTCCCTTTCGTGTAGTATATTTCAGTCAGGTTATCACTGCTTATCAGACTGCACGAATGTCATGACCGAGGCGGTCGGCCGGCGGTCCAGAAAATAGGGTGTTCTCCTCGGCCGGACATACAGTAGTAGGAAATCATGGAGTTATTATTATAGTCATTCAACCGCCGGTATGGCACCATCGGCAGGTTTGCTATCTGCTGGTGCCGATGTCCAAAGACCGTGTAAAACGAAGAAAATGAGAAAAAAATTACGTGAACGAGCTTGGCAACTGATTCTCAACGGCAATATGAAAAAATTAGGGCAGTCTTGAGGCATCCATCGATGATTGGATATCATTCTCGATATTTAGAGACATGGTAGGTTTCATTACTCGTTGCGAAAGTCACATCTTCCTCCCAGACCTCCCGATCACAAGCGTGAGATTATGGAAGACAGCGCTCCGATCGAGGCGAGGAAAGATTGAATCCTCCAGCGCACCCCCCACCCCCATCCCTCCGATGCATCGATACACTATCGATAGTTTTGGTCTGTGCATCGATGTTTTGAAAACTACTATAGTGATAGCCCTACTTTTTGCTGATGTTTCTCTCACTGGAGCTTTGAGTAGCACTCCAAGAACGATGGACACGTTAGGATACACGGACCCGACTACTCTTGTGAGTTAATCACGGAGTTCCATGTGGTGTTCCATTCAAGTGGCTCTGGTAGAAGTGTGGCCAGACTGCGAAGATCATCGACGAGGATGTGAAGCTATTGAGGTTAACCTTGGCAAAATGGGTCTAAACTTTGCACGGGTATCGTCGCTGATTAGGGTTGCCACCCGTTCATAATTAGGATTGATAGTACATATTTCAGACGCTCCGTAGATACTGCAAACTGGTCTTAATATGGACAATAACTTGTCCATACTGTAAATTTGCTGAGATTTTTTAAATTAATAAAGCTTAATAGCAGCTAAAAAGGCTCTTTTCCGTAAGACAAATGGAGTTGGCCACACTCTCGGTATCGATTGGCGCCTTGGCTTAAGTTGGCTCTGGGTATTTGTGGCATAGCCGCATACACAAGTGTACGTCGAATATTTTTGCACATTTTCATTTGTTCATACCTTGTTAAATTCAAATGTGGCAACCCTATCAACGACTCGGCAATGAAAACACAAGACATTTGACAACATGATCAAGAGAGACAAGCAAGGGAAAGGGATGAAAATGAGGTAGACCCTACTACGCGGACGTCTTTCTCACTTCCTCGAGTGCCTTCAAGCGCGAAGATTTCATGCGGGAAGGATCGAGGAATCAAAATTAATAAATAAAAATACTTTTCATGCATTGGGACGATGACGGATTTCGCCCAGCTCGGCCTTCTCGCCTGTCCAGAGTAGGAAGACCGAGGAAAATTCTTCGTCTCATTCAGAGCTTGGATCTCTTTCGGAATAACTCGCAGTTTCAAAGTTTTTCCTCTTTTTTCCCGTTCTTCCTGTCTTATTATTATTTATTTTTTCCTCTTGGGGCTAGGGCCCCCTGCGGTCGCAGGGGACGCAGGAGAAATTGCGCCGGCCCTGATTATTTGGAGGAAATTACCGATACCCAAATTGAAGGCATGCAGAACATGTGCAGTTTTGCCAGGCATCTGAGAAGTAATGAATGAATTAATCCAAGTCAACAACTCAAAGACTTAAATAATGAAATTCCGAAGAGGCGTCCTGGCGTCCACAGCCGAATTCCTATACAACGGGACGAAGTTACAGATTGTCCTGGCCTATGAATACCTTGGTGTTACCTTTCAATCGAAAGGCAGTTTTTCAAGATACCTCGCCAAGAAAGTGCAAACCTGTGCGGTGGCAACATTTTCCATCAAGAATCTTATAAATCTATCTCCCAAAACAGCCTCGGGCCTCTTCAGCATCAAAATCAAGCCTATCGCAACGTACGCACTGAATTCTCTCTGGCCTCACCTCACCACCCCGAATCTACGCTCACTCGAACGTATAAAGCTTACTTTCTTCAAGCGCGCTCTTGGCCTGCCGAAGAACACTCTTAACTGGATTGTTCACATCCTGACTCAAGAAATGTCGATCGCGTAAGACTGCCAGCAAACCTTTCTTCTCCCCGAAATGGCTTCGATGGTCGCTCACCTCGAAGACATTGCACGCAAGAGAAGCGAGGTCAATACTGACGTGTTCAACTCACTTGCCATGACGGACCGTACCTGGACAAAGTCATGCAGGCCAAACCGCTATGCCGTAACGCGGTTCTCATGGGACTGAGTGGCACATGGCACATGGTTCTGAGTGGTGGGGGTTGGGGAAGGAGAAGGGAAAAAAATGAGGTTTTTCTTAAATGAGACAGGATTAATCCATTCCTGTGATTGGATGCTTTTGTTTAAATTTTGAAATTTCATGCCAAAATATTTCGTCTGATCTTATATCCCTCCCCCTCTATTGAGGGTGATCGATTGAAGAGTCGCTTGATCCATCACTTATCCTGACTTTCTGGAAGTGAAAATAAACACAGTGAAACTCCTTTTGCTTCAATGTTATCCCCGTCCTTTTTTGTGGGATTATTCATAGTACTATGAGGAAAGGACACCGTGAAAAATGAGCTGTTCAATTGGGAGTTAGTTTTTCTTTTGACCGCATGACAAAACCATGATGGTTGGCCGACGATCTCTGTACCTGGCCGGTGATCCAAATATGAGAGATTCAAGTTCTTCGAGAAATCCCTGGGCTGTGACGTTGTAAGTCATAGCAGACGTTATTTTCGACGAATTTGGGATGAATTAAAATCGTTCCTCCTATCCTAGTTATTGGCACTCTTGTCATCTATCGCGGAATTCATTCAGTAGGTGTTTATGAGTCCCATTGAGCAGGGAATATCGGACGCGTTTAGTAGAAGTAGTCGGTCGGCGAGAACTTAGGCTAACCATGCTGCTGGAAGAAGAGAAAGAAGTGGAAGGCGGGTGGTGGAGTTCATAGTTGATTCTGCCTATGACCGGCTGGCAAGACCGAGGTGGTCGGTCGACGATCTCTTGCGGCCGGCCAGTGATCCCAATTTCAGAGAATTGAGTACTTCAAGAAATTTCGGGCTGTAACGTTATAGCAGACCTTATTTTTGACGAGTTCGGGATGAATGAAAGCTGTTCTTTCCCTGTTAACGATGGACAATTGCGAAATTAGTTCAACTAATTATTAATAGGAGTCTGCAACATGGAAGTTCGGACATGTGAGAGACAGAAGTGGCCGGCTGGCGAGAACTCACGTTATGAATAAAAATCAATAGTCGTTCAAAGTGGAGTAAAAAAAAAAGTACCCTTTCATCGCATGAGGTGGATGTAGTTTCAGCACTGCTTGAATGATTTCTCTCACTTGACATCATGAATATTGCTTTTTACGCCATGTCCTTGTAGTATTCTACCCGTCGTAGAATAGTACTACTGTTGTACACCGTAGCATCAGAATCATTACTACGCAGAATACTACGATGAGAACTGGCATAAAAATATGCATTTATGGTGTCAAGGGAAAGAAATCATTCGAGCTGAAAATCCATCCAATTCATGCTCGAAAAATGTAAATTTTTTGCTCCACTTTGATTGACTGCCGATTTTTATTCAGACAACATAAGTAAAAGAAACTTTCAAAAATATTGAGATGTTTTCAACATGGCACGAAAACATCGCGAACCTAGAGCATCAACAGAGGGTTTTATAGAGTCAAACAGGACGCGCTTTTTTTGGACCACCCCTATATTCCGATTTCAATATAGTGGAATAGTGTCACTTAAGATAATTATTATGATTGACATGAAATAGCCTTGCCAACTTTATCAAATGCAGGTAAGTTCTTCGTTCCAGCAAGTGTATGAACACGAATCGCGGGAAATCGGAAAGGAATCCGGATAGTAGTTTCCACTTACCGTGTTCGTCGTTTACGCTGCCGGTAGAGTCTCTTTTGGCCAGAGGCTCCGCGCTCGTCACCTCGGTTGCCGGATCATTGAAGATCTTAGAGTCACCGGTAGGACCGGACTTCAGTGCCGCTGCGCCATCTAAAATCCCGATCTCCTCAACCAGACTGGAATAGTCCAGTCCGCCCTTCACCCTCAAGATGGCCACGCCCATGTGATTCTCGAAAGCATCACTGACGAAGAGCACGATCGCAAGGGGTTTTACTTTTTTCTTGCCACGGGGCTCCATTCATGTGACTCGGAGGCAGACTCACTGGATGATCTGAAAATACTCTTGTAGGTGATGGCGATCACAGGTCTGCCAGTCTCGTTTGAACCCCATGAGAACAACATTCGGCCTGAGTTTCCCCACTCCCGAGCACTGAATCAACGCCCTCACACCCTCGTGGAAACTATCACTGTTCATCAACGTATAGAAACTTCGGATTTTGTTCCGCTGGAGCCATCGTCGAGCGGATTCTGTCCGAGCCATCCTGGCCGACAGTTTCAGCGAATCCTGTGAGGTGATCGAAAATGCTTTAAGATGAAACTATTCGAATGCATTCAAGTACAGGGTGGGCTAAAAAAAAATATTCGGTGATCTTTAACGCTTCACAGAGCAGTTTCTCGAGAGTTTCAAAATATTGCAATAGCATCTCTATACAGAACATTTATCTCGCTTTCTACTGCTGTCAGAAGATTTAAGATCCGTTCCGTCATTCCGATGCAGTTATGCACAGAGAACAAGAGACAGCGCTTGAAAAGTGCACTTACTAGCACCCTGCAAGATGTGCTCCAGGTGACTTCCATTTCTTCTCTTGTATTAGGGGGTATCGGAAAGTAAGTTTCTCATGTCTCTAGAACAAACACTGTAAGTACGAACGTGACGGTACATATGCTAATATGTGCATTGTTTCCTGCCTTACCATTTGTACACTGGTGGTAGGGAGCATGCGCAGTGAAGGTGACAAAATGGCCGCACCCGTGGAGGCGCACACACACTGCGAGGTCAGCATTGTGGTACGATTTTTGTGGACAAACAAGCATGCACCCGTCGATATCCACCGTCAGATCGTTGCCGCGCATGGTGACGATGGGAAAATGGTAGGGATGGACGATGGGAAAAGGAGGTGGCGCCGTGCATTTGCTGGGGGCCAAGCGAGTGAGGAGGATGCTGAGCGCTCGGGTCACCGATTTCATTCACGAGAGTTTGGAAAAACTAATTTACCGATGGGGAAAAGGTATAAATGTAGGTGGTGATTATGTAAAAAGTAGAGTGGGAACAGGGTTTCATATTACCACTGCGTGTAGGAATATTGCAAATATATTTATTTTTTGAGATACATGGGAAACTTATTTTCCGATATACCCTCGTACATTCGCATTCTTGCTAAGGTATTGTTCACATTTTCAGTGCCACCTCTTATATTCTTTATCCAACTGCATGGAAGTTATGCCTCGAATCTTTATTCTGTTGACATTGGAAAGCTGAATGAATGTTCTATACGAAGGTGCTATTGCAATTTTAGCAAATTCTTGGAGACCAGTGCTGTGGAGGGATAAAGATCACCGAAGTTTTTCTGACCCACCCTGTATATTCGACCCAACCATGAAAATGTCTTTCGTGAAAATGATGATGTGAGGAAGAAGAGAGAAAGTGAAACCTTGACGACATCGCCAGCAATGAGAAGAGAGCTGTGCTTGGTGATGGAATGAGCAAAGTCCATGAGAGGATGGCGATCTCTGGGGAATCCGGATAAGACGAGGAGTTGTGGTCGATATGTCTTCACGTGTTCCTCCGTCCGATTCAATTCCGACACGTGTTTCAGGGCGCTGTTGTACGTCTGCGCCTGAGTACTCGATCCCCAGTTCGCGTCTGGATGGTACATCGCATCCACAACATCATTATCATCAACACTGGTGGCAACGACGGTGATGATTCATACCTGGTTTCCGATAGGAGACGTAGAGATAGAGGGCGGCGATGATGGCGAATGTGATCAGGGCGAGATCCCATTGAATGATGAACATGACGGCCGCACACAGGAGCGTTCCCAACAGGCTCACCCATGCATTGTAATACTGCAATTTCCATCCCATTACATTAGTTTTCTAGCCTATTCCATTCTAGTCTATTCCTTTCCCGTGGGAATCCGTCAGATTCCTTTAGGTCCTCTGAATACCTTTTTCGTCCGGAGGGCGTATAGAAAGAGTATACAAGAGACAGGAATCACTGCGCTTGTACGCATTCCAGCTCTACACATGCATTTCTCAGGTGATATAGCGGCCTCCGATCGACCATTCCGGCCCTTTTTTGTTACTGAACACTCTACGTTTCTGGGTCCGTAGGTCGTAATTTTCTGCTGCGAGGGGACACTGCCTGACATTGCAGCTCAAACGTTCCAAATTTACCTGAAAGGGAGAGGAAGACGTTCCTCCTCTGCTCCCCTTCCATAGGTTCCCTGCAGATAAAGTGTCTCTCCAGAATGCCGTACCGTTAGGAAGCGAGAGGAAAACTAGGCCTCTTACATGTCATGACATAATCAGATAAGAGCGTTCGCCATGAGATTCGCCACGTTGTGGCATGCCATGAGTGCATTTACCATTCTCTCCCAGCCAAGAGAGGCATGGCTCGACTGAGCTCGGCCGCACTGCGCAATCCAACATCTGCTCAGCACCTTCAACAGGTCATTAAAGAAGTCTGAACTAAAGAAATAACTCCATGTAGTAATGTGAAAACAAGTTTTCAATGGTTTTACCTTTCTTCAACCTCAACCCAACCTCAACCACCCCCCACCTTACCCCCTTCTCTACGGAACTCACTAACGCTAGACCTAGGCCTAACCGACGAACTGTCTTCGGGTCAGGCCTAGGCCTACTTTTTCTCGTTCAGTAGAAACTCAATCCTCAACCTACAGACTAATTAAAAGTCTTTGATTTTTTTTTACTATTGTCTTTTCCCCAAAATCAAGGAGCCCTTGCGTGAAAGAGTGTTTGACACCCGAAATGACGTCATTGAAGCTGTCAACAATGGGCTGGGAAAGCACAAAAAAGATTTTGTGGAGTGCTTCCAGAAATGGCTGCACCGCCTCAGGAAATGCATTCAAGTTGGTGGTGACTTTGTGGAGAAATGCAGAAGCTTTCAAAAGAAAATGAAGAAAAAAAATTACGTGTCTTCCTTGATTAAAATTAATCGAGCTTTCCGACTTCCCCTCGTATAAGGATTAATCCATGGTCTTCGAGACACCGAGTCGAGGACATGTAACGTTAGGCCAATCGCAGGCCTATTCAGTCTCTCATGGCCTATTAACAAAGAACGTGTAACGTTAGACCGAATCTAGGTCTTTTTCGAGTTTCATAAACCATTTCGGTGCGGACAAGGAACGTTAGGCCTATCCAGAGTTCCTCGAACAGTCTTGACTCGTTCCGAGAAGAAAATGCCTTTAGAAAGCATGAAATACAGCTGGCCAACATTCTGTTACTCTACGATTGTCCGAATGAGATATCTCCACATTCCACCAAATCGATCGGCCACTGCTAGCCACCATTTCAATCTCAGCTCATCTAATGAACTCGACATGAAACTAATACTGTATATTAAACCTTTCAGACCTGAATTAAGGTCGCTATCGGAATAATATCCTTCTTGTGTTTTGGAGCTCTTTCGTGATTATAATTGAAATTGTTTTGCTTTATATGAAGTTTTTATATTTTGTATGAATTTACCATATCATACCATATATTATAGATTATACATTTAATTAAATAACTGAAGATTACAAAAATAATGGGGGAAAGAAGGCATCTGATGGAACCGAGCCATGCATAATTGAACCCATTGTAGCGTAATATTGAGCGCAAAGTCGCGAGAACCCAAAGAAATTGCCATAGACACAATACAAATCCAACGTCCATTGGAATGGACGCCAGGTCTGAAAGGGTTAAAAAACAGAAGCTCCAGACACCAAAATTAAGGCTGAAGAAGTCATGAATCTGACGTAACTAACCCAAATAACACAAGATATTCCAGTAACGTTTAGGAAATGTTGATGAATAATGTTGCGTCTGTCTATGTGTAAATGTCCAAAACGTCAACGTAGCTCAAATGTTGCGAAAGAACATTGACGTTGCAAATCTAGACCTACGTCTCCATCTCATGGCAAGGAGAACAACTTTACAATTTTCTAAAAATTCCCAGTCCATGTTATATTAAAATGTTGTCGCTACGTTGTCGATGTCAAGAGTGTCAACATTCTCTCATAGACGAGAAAGACGAAGGGGAGGAGCCTGAGCCCGTTTCTTAAATTCTCGGGTGCATTACATTTTTCGTCCCCGCATTCAAACCGGAACTTCACCTGCAAGGAACATATTTGGAGGATACTATTTTCCGATGTCAAGAGTGTCAACATTCTCTCAATGTTGATAGTAAAGGTTGCAATAACATTCGTGGAACTGTCGCAGCAACTTTCGGGAAAAATGGAAAACGTTGAAGCAATGTTTGATCAATGTTATACATCAAGTTGCAACATAGAGCAACATAGGCAAAATTTCGGAAGTGTTTCATCAACATACTGTGTTTCTTGGGTTGAAGAAACGTAATGGGTGCTACCGCGCCCATTGATTATTTTTCTTAAGATATAGATAAAACCTACGCCGCAGCGAATTCAAGAAGTATTGAAACTTAAAGGTCTGCATTCACGTAATTGAGGTGTGTTCATCATTGTTGACATTTGATTCATGTTCTTCATGTTCATGTTCTTACTGAACTTTAAACAAGTATATAATATAATACTTTGTGGGAAATAATGGTATTCTTGATTAAATTAAAAATAAATCGAGGATTGAATTTCTTTTGAGAATAAAAAGGTAGACCTAAGCCTGACCAGAAGACAGTCCGTTGGCTTAAACTTTCCAAAGCCGCCCGATTCGCTGGAGGGAAAAGATTTCTCTAGAACGTCCCCATGAAAAAATGTTTTTCCTGAGGGAATGACCTCAAAGTAGAAATTTCTTTGAAATCATCTTTCCTACAATTACTTGTTTACAGAATTTCAGCTTTCTTCACGCTTCGCTTCCACGGTAACAAAAAGTTTATTGAAAAATGTCTCACCACAAATCTGCACATCATCTGCACATAGGGAAGGCGTCTCTGGAATATGATTTCCCCCGATATTTTCATCTTAACAATAAACTATATACCAAGTTTCATATTTATATGTCAGTTTGTTTGTAGTAATTCCTACTTACAAAAACGTGCCCTGCAGAGATAAAATTGAACATTAACATTTTCTCAAAATCACAGATTCTTGGAATATGCCCTGCCCAAACGGGAGTTTTATCGTGAAATTTGAGATCGTCGAACGCACTGCCTTGTTAAGTTCGTATGGAATGTTCCAATGGCAGGTTTCAGCAACCCAAACGCACACAAAAACACACAAAACACACAAAATTGGATATTACAAACCCTGTTTTCGGCAGTAAAGAGGCAAGTTATTTTCACAAACAGAAAGGCACTGCCAGGCTTCATCGAGTGTCTTAATATACAGGGCGGCCCAAAAAAAACCGCACCAATTTTGATCGGCCATAACTTTTGAACAAATGAACCTTTCTTCGTGTTCGAAACGGGAATTAAAAGGTCTATTAATCCTCCTTCCATCGCCATATCATTTATCAAAATTTCCCCAATGGAACCGGAGCAATTGCAATTTAAGTACAAGCACCCAAAAAAGTGGATGAACAAGGCTGGCTTCTTGCTAAAACCCTCTCTGTATGCAGCATCCTTNACCGGAGCAATTGCAATTTAAGTACAAGCACCCAAAAAAGTGGATGAACAAGGCTGGCTTCTTGCTAAAACCCTCTCTGTATGCAGCATCCTTGGGCATCCTACGGCGATTTTGCATGCTTGCAACTGCCGTGTCTTTCAAATTTCATCCTATAAAAGTGCATTTAAAAAGTTCATTCCAATTATTTTCATAGTTGCTATTCGAACGATTATTGATTCAAAACCTGTTTTGCGAGCGTGCCGCCGTTGTCTCGCTGGTCAATTATTTTCAATTACTCTCATACTGAGTTTCATCAGTCAGACATGTTTTTCTTCAGTGTAATGTAGCGTTTTTTCTTCATTTGAACTTGAATTATTCTCTTTGATCTTCAGGTTTACATTTTATTTTTGCACCCTTCAAAATGGTCTTGAGCGAGAATGACAAGTGTTTGATAACCGCGCTGCCTCAGGAAAAGAATTACTCACTGAATCAAATTCTTGCGGAGTTTCTAGATCGCCAATGGAAACAAAGAACAGTTGCGAATTTTTTTGAAAAACCTTCAAGACTATGGAAGTGGAAAACGTTGTCCGGGCAGTGGGCATCCAAAAACTGATCGTAAAGAAAAAAAAACGTCGAGACTGTCGGTTCACTGATTTGCAGCCAAGAAGATACCAGGCACCAGTTTAAGTATGCGACGTATTTCAAAAGAAACAGGCATTCCGCGGTCTTCAATTCAGCGAATAGCAAAGAAGGACTTGAACCTATTTTGAATCAATAATCGTTTGAATAGCAACCATGAAAATGACTGGAATGAACGTTTTAAATGCACTTTTATAGTATGAAATTTGAAAGACACGGCAGTTGCAAGCATGCAACGGAAAATCGCAGTAGGATGCCCAAGGATGCTGCACACAGAGAGGGTTTGGGCAAGAAGTCATTCATCCACTTTTTTGGGTGCTTGTACTTAAATTGCAATTGCTCCGGTTCCGTTGGGGAAATTTTGATAACTGATATGGCGATGGAAGGAGGATTAATAGACCTTTTAATTCCCGTTTCGAACACGAAAAAAGGTTCATTTGTTCAAAAGTCATGGCCGATCAAAATTGGTGCGGTTTTTTTTGGGCCACCCTGTATATTTGCATAAGAGGGACCAAAACGTCACGTCCCATTCTTTGGGCTGAATAATCATGTTTTGTGAAAAGTTATAAATTTCACTTTTTTGCAGGTGTTCATGGAAGGTTTGGAGAGTAGTTTGAACTATGGATAAGTGGACGACAGAACACAGTGCAGCAATACTAGAACTGAATTTCTGTTACGGAAAATCAGTGTTTGCCGCTCAACGTGCCTCCAAAAAGCAATTTGGTGTACATGAGTGTCCGCGGAGATCTGTGTTACGCAACTACTGGTTTCCCAAATCACCTGCAAAAAATTACAATTGCTAATTTTTCCCAAATGTGATTAATAAGCAAAACAAAGGCGTCATGACTTTTTGGTCACCATCTACGTTTCCCTGGCCAGGTGACGCTTGTATAACGTTATGGTTTTCGTCTTCCTCTCCCTGATGTGTTTGGAGCTGAGGAACTGGACCTTATTCTTGGTCTTCCCTTATATTTTGAGATCCTGACGAATGACCATGCTGATAGTTCCCTTGGACATTGCAGTCGACTTGCAATTGATTTACGACAGGGTGGAAATTCCATTTTCTCAAAATGAGTGAATTTAGACGAATGCTTCTTGTTATGTACCGATCATGGATGAGGTTTAAGGTAAAAAAAAATTCAAGCTTTTCATCGCCTTTCGCCTCTTACCATTATAAATTATGCTATTTGAGATTGTTTCTTTGGAAACGCGCCTTATTTCAAGAAACACTCATTAATTATCATTCCGAATTATCGTGTGAGTTGCATCCATTCATGGGAAAGTAATTAACACATATTTCCACAACACGATCAACAGGCTTCGTGATCCGCAAAATGCAATGGCCTCTTACTTCACATAACAAAAGTTGACTTCTTACCCAACAAACACATGCCGCACAAAGGCTATTCATATTTTCCCGATAACAGTAAATGTATGTTGAGAGTGATCAAATAAAGCTGGGGCAGCCTTCTGCATGAATGAAAGTCGTGTGAGATTTAACCCCTTGAGTGAGGAATTTCTCGAACAGAAGCTCACCACCGGAGTCAGAAATTATTTTCGTGAGAATAATAATTTGTGTTTCTGTAAGAAATGTCCCACTCTTTCTCGAGTTTATACTCCTATTTCGAGTTTCAAATTCATATTTAACTCAAACTCGAAATTTAACGGGACAAAAAAATGCCAAACCCCCTGAGGAGCACTTCACCATGACGGACGTCATATCCCCAAAGGGGTTAAAGATATTCCACAAATGATGCCGTATACTGCCGCGATCGTCACTTCCTCTCTTTCTATTCTCCCTCCCTCCTCACACCTTCGTAGCCATGCGCACGAATAAAAGAAACGATGAAAACCTTGAAGGCCGGTCTCCACCCGGGGAAGCGGCTGATGCTGGCGTGGAACACGGAGAAATTCACCATACCATAAGAGGCCATGTAGAAATTCACCAAAAGTGACGCGATCGCATTCAGCTCGCCTTTCACGAATAGATAGAGAGGAAAAGGGAAAACAAGCATTAAATAAATAAATAAATAAATAATTTTTTACGCTATAATTTCTAGATGAAACCTCTTGTAAGCCGTACCGATGAGTGTCCAGCCGATGGCGACGATGAAGCAGAGGATGTATCCACGAACAGGACTGTTATTTTCACCCTGGCCTTTGGCGAAAATTCCAATCCCTGGGTAGAGTTTATCTTTTGACAGGGCCTACATTTCGAGAAGGAAACACGAACAAGCGTCAGGTGTAAAATGGACACTCCCATCCCCCAGGGACGCAGAACAATTTCATTCATTTGGCAAGGAGATCATAAAACGAGGCAATCAGTACAGGTAAATATGGTAGACTGGAAAGCTTTGGCAAATCCGTTATTCATGAAGGCCATGCCTGTTCGTAGCAAAAAAATGCAGCGTGATGATCTAGCAATCCTTCTCGTTTGGCATAAGCAAGGTCCATAGATCGAATTGTCATTATGCAACGGTTGTGCAGACTCGCTATAGTTTCAGATGCTCGTCAGAAATCAGCGTAATTGGTGGACAAGAGTGTCATTCTCGTGCTCTCTCACCCTATTATCATTCTTTATTCTGCCGGTTTGCTGCTTCCTTTCATATTTTTCTGCTCGACAATCCTCGTCGTATTCCCCAGAAAGCACGAAGTCCAGTCGAGTAGCGGCATTTGAAATGAATTGCAGTGCAATTTTTTATTATTATCCCTATATAGGATAAGATATTGAAGGATGACTGTCAATGTCTGTGGCCATCAGTACGAAATGAGAAATACAAAAAACCATCATGAAAACAAACTCAATCCCCCTGGGGTCTCAACTCTCAAATTCTATTCGGTGAGACCCTGATAGCAGTTCACACTGCTTTTCCTTCTTAGTTTCCTAAGTTCCAGACCTTTTCAAAGTAAAGGTCGAGCAGGTTGATTCCCCTCTTGGAGCAGGCCCTGGTACTTTTTACTGGGTTCTGGTGATCACCATTGTACGATCACCATTGTTGAGTTCATCCTGTGTATTCCCATGTCCTACTGGACAGATTGTGACTTCGTTATCCTGTCGCATGAGTGTAAAAATACTCTTATTTCACTTTGATACTTCAAAATTAAAAGGTATTGCATTAATTTGCAATAATAGATTTCTGGAACTCAACTAATGTCGCATTATCCACGTTAGTGTTGTACGAAGGATTTTCGGAAGGAGGATTCAATATTACGGGAACTGAGTGATGGGAGGGACGCGTAAGCTGCTGTTGATGCAAGGAGGAGCTGGACGAGAAAAGGGCAGTGGAGGCATCCTGGGAGAGAGGAGGGTCAAGGGCTTCACGAGAATTTTGATGCCATTGTAATGGCTGCAGCATATTCGCCTACAGTGTGTTCCTTCAGACCTTTTACAACCAGATCTGCGCGATACTGTCAACTCTTGTTAATGCAAACATGAGGGGACAAGTGATTTTTTCCTGATAACCCGCTCGACCGGACTATCGAAAACCTGCCGGAGAGACCATTTTCCTTCATTTTTCCTGGAGGAGAAAACTGCGCCCCTATCACACAAAAAAATCCATCATTGTTTTCCATGGGAACGGAAAAACTTTGACTTAGTTCTTAGGATCATTCACATTGAAGAAATCCCAAAGATTATCCCAAAGATTCTTTTGCTTTGATTCATGCATCTCGAAAGTGCGCGCTTCGCAATCGTTTCGCATTTAGCAGGGACACCAGCTAGGACAGCATCCTGTTCCGATTTATCGTGACACCTCTTTATATTCCACACGGTCGATGTTGGATTATTCGAATCACGTGGTACCTCAACTTGCCTTTCACATAAGTCAAAGCACTTTAAAACGTTCAACTTCTTCCGTGTGAGAACAAGCCGAAAACGATTACTAGTGACAGGAGGTAAGAAACTTCTTGTGGCTCTAATGGTAGGGACGGATGAAACTGGCAGGGAAAGGGTGAGATGTCAGTAATGCGTGAGAGAAAGTCTCAATGAAGAAACATTGCCCGATTCCAGGAAAGGGTGGAGATCGAATGAGAAACGAGTATTTTTTAAATATATATTTTTATTTCCAGACGTGGAAAAGGAACATGGAAAACTTGGCTGTTGGATTATATTTATTTTGTTAACCAGTTCAAATTAACGGGGCAGAATGGCTTGGGGGATAAAAATACTCGTCTGTATAAACGGAAACTACGGAATAACGACATTCGGTTTCAACGGAGAATTTTACTATGGGGTGTTTGCCGGGAACGTTTCTTATTTCCGAATTACGCAGAGGTCCGTATTACTGACGTTAGGATAAACGAGAGTTGAGCGCATTATGCTCAATAATGAGAAACTGTCGATCACTCTTACTAGGGTGGACATGAAATAAGAAAGAAGCTAGGTAGAGATGCAGAAAAGGTGTTTCTCCCTTTTGTTACAGTCTTCAATCCGCCCGAAGAACTCACCCCCCCCCCCTCCTAGACTCAGGTCACCATTGCCTCTTCTCTCGTGTCCAGAGAAATTAATCATGTCGCATCCCTTTTGGGACAGCAATGAGAGACACCTTAGCAACTACTTCGCTCATTTCGAATGCGTAAATGGTATAAGAGAACACATTGAGACTCCTAGCGCTGGTCGGGGGGGGAGGGGGGGAGGCGAGGGTTCTCATACGCCAAGTGAGACGATCTAGCTCCCTGCAACCCCCATTCCTTGCGTACGCCACTGATCCACAACATGGACTGTGGAAACCACGTTTCCTACTTAAAATAACCATTCCACACTACATTGGAACATCCCAATGACATGAAAAACAAGGAATAACGGTAAATGAGCCGTCGCACTGTAAGACTTAGTCCTTTTCTACGAAGCAGGCTTGGACGGTAAAACGTCTCATGTCGTACTCGGAAATAAAGAAGTCCTCCTTACAGCGAAACGACTTTTTATTTTTGGCTGAATTTCCATCATGTGTAATAATAAAGCAATCATGAAGATAAAGCATAAAGCGAAATGCTGGTAAAAATTTTTTACTTAAAAAAATTAACTTTATAAAATCGCACGAACTTTTGTGACACCCTGTAAACTACGATTAAGAATTTTTAAAATTCCAGTTCGCAAAGAACTTCCTTTTATAAGGAAAGTATTCCGCAGTCCCCCCCGAATTGTTATAACAGTTCTTAGGGATTTTAAGAAATATCCGTGAAACGACAACATCCTAGGCAGCCCACCTGACGACGACGTGTCCATTTAGTATCGACGACGTGTCCATTTTGATAAAATGGTCAAATGAAGTTATGACGTCACTCACTTAAAAGTGACCACCGCGCATAGGCCTTTTCTTGTGTGTTCTCGATTCTTCGTATGGCTCGATTCCAAAATGTAAATTTATATTCTTTCGGATAAGACAAATGCCACTTAAGAGGTTTACTTTGCGTTTCTTCACCTCTAATATGGGAAAGGGAATGACATCACAGCAAGTACAAAACGTGTACGTCAAATTACGAGCAAACGATTCAGAAGAAATAAATCGGTTGACAGCACGGCATGGACGAGTCACCATTTTTAAATTAAGAAAACCATCGCTGAGCCAACTTGTAAGGGACGCTCTCCCAAGTCAAAGTTCATCACTGGCTGGTATGTTCGATGACCATTCTATCTAATGGACCCTGGCATAATAGTGGGCCCAGCATTCATCGAGCAAGAAGAGTCGAAGATAGTGTACACTTCAGAATAGAGCTAAGAGAAAGAGATAGCTCACCATGAGAACCCTTGGTGCACCTTCCAGAGTGGCAATGGCCGACGACAAGGTAGCTGCAAAGCATCCTGCGTAAATCAGGTAACCAAACGCCGACGTCAACTCCATCACCTTCAGGATAATTGTACAAAAATTAATCTCAAGGCTAATGGTTTTTAGAAAATGAGAATGAAATCAAGGAAGACGCATTTAATCTGTCAGATACTACAGTATAAAACTGGGGTGGCACACTTAATACCACCTCTCCACGACTGCCCAATTAACAAGATATTCCAACAACGTTTAGGAAATGTTGATGAATAATGTTGCGTCTGTCTATGTGTAAATGTCCAAAACGTCAACGTTGCTCAAATGTTGCGAAGGAACATTGCATTGACGTTGCAAATCGTTAATTATTCATTGCATTGACGTTGCAGAAACGTTTCAGGACTTAAGCTGCTGCAATGTTGATGGAAAACGTTGCTTCACCGGCACGTAATCTGGACCTATATTGACGTTACTGCCCGGAAAAGCATAGGCTTCACTGGCCCTAAACCGGACCGGTATTCTTCCAATATTGCATCTTTTTTTCATCATTTCGTACCACATACTTTGCCTCATTACCCAGACATTCCCATCAAAAGGCCAAAACCTGTACTGGTATAACCCTACCAATGCATAATACAGTATTTGTATCATGTACTAGCCTTGACGCGCCTTCGGTGCTCTGCGACCTAAGGAAATTACTAATGCATTTCAGTTTAAGGCATCCGTTTTCGATGCTCACCCCTAGAAATGTGGTCAAACTCCTTTGCTCACGGGTTCAATTCCCACACCTTTGGCTCTGACAACTTTAAAAAACGGTGTCTTAGAACATATTCTTAGTAACGCCATGTGACTTGTAGCAAGAGAATCACCAAGTAACACTTGCCAGTGCGTCGTTTAGTGTTCTATTGGTGTACTCAATTCCTGCTTATGGTCGACATTGCATATGAATCTCTAAAAAGTATAAGTGAGTAATAGCAGCCACATGAACCACATAAGCCACTTGAGAGTTTTAACGCAATAACTCTTTATAGACTACGTTCACTGTATGGGGAGTTCTTTCATTATCTTCATATCTATATTTAGGCACAAGTACACTTATGGAATCCCTTTTTCTTACTCAATCTAATGCTACATACAGTTGTCCAAGAGAAAATACGTCTTTCATGAAGGCAGTTTATGGCTACTTACGTTCCTGCTTGGTTGAAGCGTGAGCACAGAAATGGCATTAGTCCAAGCGTATTGCATTGGACATAACCACCCTAAATCTGAAAGTTGAGGGAAAATCTTCCTTGCCATTTCCTTGCTACAAAAATATATGAAACCAATTCGCATCCACAAGCATACCGGTACGCATCAACCCAAGTCCTTCTACCTAGCCTACGACTAGACGAAAGGAATAGGGCAAAGACCTTGCACCGCACGCTAAGACAGCGATTTTTCCCTTCAAATAGACCGAAAAGGTCCTCCAAAATAATGAGTCGAGATCGATGTAAGCCTGAGCGTCCATGCAAGGGTTAGATATGGGCCTGCTGAATCAATCCCTTCAGGGCACGTACCTCCAATGTCGAACTGCTATCAGTAGTATGCGAACCAACAGATGTTTGTTTTCCATCCCGTTTCCTTTGAAGAAGTGTTCATGAGAATGGTATTGGCCTAACCGTCCATCCATGCGTCCATCCTAGGCCTGCGAAATCAGCCCCCTCCTGAAAATTGTCCTCAGGCATGTACAGTGGTACCTCGCATAACAAACGCAATTCGTTCCAGCGGTGCGTTCGTTATGCGAGGTGTTCGTTATGCGAAACACGATTTCCCATAGACGTCTATGGGAAATCATGTAATCCGTTCCACGTCGCCGCGAAATAGGAAAAAATGTTTCACTTTCACTCGCGAACACCTCGCATAACGAAAGCACCGCTGGAACGAATTGCGTTCGTTATGCGAGGTACCACTGTACTTCCAAAGTCGGAATTCCTCCTGAGTGAACAACCTAGCAGTTACACACACTTCCTTCAATGACAGAGGAAGGAATGTGTGCATGAGAATGGCGTAGGCCTAAACCTCCGTCTGAGGGGGTGGGGGGGGGAACTGGGCCTGGGCTTGCAAAATCAGTTCCCCCTGAAATGTCCCGCAGGGCATGTACCTCCGAAGTTGAATTTCTTCTGAAATCTGCATCCCAATAGCTACTTGTGTACCAAGTTTCAGATTTCTAACTTCTCTAGAACATGGGTAGAATTAGCGTCAGTCATGATCATCTATATGTATTAGATAGACAGGAGCCATAGTTCATTTCTGGAGGGAATCTTCCCTCGGATGTGTTAAATATAGCACAATCAGGAAAAGGGTCCACCTTCAATGTATCATGGAGTGTCCACGACTTCATTCCTTTCTTCCTAATCTTATTCTCATGGAAGTGGAAATGAAGGATTGAGAGTTCAGACTCTCTACCATCGTTTTCAATATCCTGTAGATTATAAGCTACGAATTTTTAGAAAGAGTCCTTTTTGGGAATATGAGCTTGTTTTTTTTTATCTTGGCCCCATAAATCTGTCTCGAATTTAAGGATAACATGTGATGAAGTGTCCGTGTTCATTGATTCCTATGATGAGACAATGCAAGACATATGACAAGGTACTAGACATTCCTGTGCGGGACGATTCCAAGGAAAGGGAGAAGGACACTTTTGTGTACTGTTCGAAAACCGAGACCTACGTCTCCATCTTGTGGCAAGGAGAACAACTTTACAATTTTCTAAAAATTCCCAGTCCATGTTGAATCGGAATGTTGTTGCTACGTCGTCGATGTCAAGAGTGTCAACATTCTCTCAATGTTGATAGTAAATGTTGCAATAACATTCGTGGAATTGTCGCAGCAACTTTAGGGAAAAAGGAAAAACGTTGAAGCAATGTTTGATCAATGTAATACATCAAGTTGCAACATAGAGTAACAGGCAAAATTTCGGAAATGTTTAATTAACATACTGTGTTACTTGGGTGGTTGGGTCTCACGGAATCTTGCACATAATGTAAGAACAAGAGTTCTTTGAGAGAAAGCTGAAACATGTACTCGCTGCGGTGCACACCTACCCGAGTAACAAAGTATGTTGATGAAACGTTTCCGAAATGTTGCCTATGTTGCTTTATGTTGAAAGTTGATGTACAACATTGATCCCAAGTAACACAAGATATTCCAGCAACGTTTAGGAAATGTTGATGAACAATGTTGCATCTATGTGTAAATGTCCAAAACGTCAACGTTGCTCAAATGTTGCGAAGGAACATTGCATTTATGTTGCAAATCGCTACTTATTCATTACATATACGTTGCAGATACATTTCAGGATTTATGTTGCTGC